GCAAAATTTGCAATTTTACTAAAATAGTAGTTTTCCAGTAGTCGGCACCATTTTCCAATGCTCGGCATGTCTATTTGCCAGTAGTCGGCATATGGTATTTCTGTAAAAATAATATTATTTTGTATAGTTTTTATTTTAAATACCATAAAACAATGCTATATTACTAATTCACAGTTTAATCCAGAATATGAAGTTAATTTCGTTTTTAAATAGTGTTTAATTTAATTATCATTCAAACCAAATATAGGTAAAAAATCAATATTAGTATGGTTACTTTAAGTAACGTATGGATTTTCAATTAAAATAAAAATGAGATTAAATAAAAAAAGTACCTTTCTTGTATTTGAGATTTGTGAATTGGTCATTTTCCTTTAGATAGCCAACATTTTTTTTCAAAAAATGCCGCCGCTATCTAAAACGTCAAATAGCTGATATAAAAAACCTACTTAATTTAGAAAAGTTGTACAAAAGCACAAATAAAAGCAACTGCCGACTCAAAACTATTTATACCCTACAACACTATGTGTTGGGGGTATTATAAGTTTGATTGGGCCAAAAATTATGTAACACCTCGAAATATTGGTTTCCCACATAGGAAAGTATATATGGGTCTTCCTAGCTCGCCGAGCTGAGTCGGTCTAGCTATGTATGTCCGTCCGTCCGTCCGTCTGTCCATGTTAATTTGTAATCAAGCTACAGGTCGCAATTATGAACCGATCCTCGAAATTGAAAATGGAGGTGGGGTTAGGGTCAGAATAGAACCCTATTGTTTTTGGAGATGATCGCACGATATTTAGGGGTTGAAATGGACCAAAAACAGAAATTTTTCCTGATTTTGCAGTTGCTCTATGGGTCACAATTATGAACCAATCGACTCGAAAATTCATGGAGTTAGAGTTTGGGACTGGGCAGAATCCTACCAATTTTAGCGGCCATTGGACAATAATTAGCGGGTAAAACAGACCCTAACTTTTATGTTAGAAAATACGAAAATTTCCACTAAACCGCGAATAAAAGAATTGATCTGATTTATTCTGCTTATAAATCAAGAACCCCTGGGCCGATTTTCACAATTCACATCAATTCCGAATGGTCTCTTGCCAGAAAGGGAATCTAAGAAAATCGCAGGATAATATACCAATAAAAAAGTTATATCTTTTGTTTCATTTTTTTCCATTTTTGTCATATTTTTTATCGCATGTGATTTTTTTAATTTGATTTACAATTTTGAATTTTAAATTTTCTAAATGTTTACACCCCAACACTACGTTTTGAGGGTATTATATGTATGTCGCAATTATCGTCCGATCTTCACGAAATTTTGCATGGGGTGGGTCGGAATTGAAGCCTATTGTTCTTAGGATGTGCATTTAGGGGTTTAATTGGCTAAAACATTTTAAATTTTTCTAATTTTGTAGTCGTTCTATAGGCCACAATTGAAAACTAATCGACACGGAATTCCGCATCGGAAGAGAGTTGAAGACAGAGAAGAAGTCTAGCATTTTGGATGACCATTGGATTATATTTAGCTGTAAAATGGACCACAACTTTCGCGTGCAATTGTTTTTAATACTTCACAATACTACGAAGTGCGTAAATATTGGCCAAATTCTCCGGGTCAAAAACCTAAGGGTAACATCTGGGCAGGGCTCTTTGGTATTATTTCAAAAACGAAATCTTCCAAAATGGATTTGCATATAAAGGGACTTCGAACATATTGTAGTGTTGTAGGGTATCACATGGTCGACCCCGCACGACTATAGCCTTTGCTTACTTGTTTTTTTATTGGAATAGTTTTTGAATTATTTTTTAATACTTTGCTCAAATTTTTGGTGAAATTGATCAAAAATGATGCTTTTCTAGTAATCGGCACCCCCTGCCGACTACTGGCAAATCTCTTTTTTCTGCATTTCGGCAGTAAATAATATAACAGAAAAATGCTTGATTTGTATTTTTTTATTTGTTATTGTTATTTGTTACTGTTATTTACTATTATAAAATATTTCTGATTCCAAAAGTATTAAATTTAATTTACTTAAATTGATTATTAAGTTGACGCCACCACTATTTTTTTCTTAACAAACAAGCACTATCGCACGCGTTTAAATACACTCACTGACAAAAGCCGTTATTCTCTCGTAATAAATGAACGGAACTCATTGTATTTTTACAGAAAGAGAGCAGAGAACACTGTTGACGTCTTTTTTGCAATTATTTCATTATTTGGTCAATTCTATTCATAGTTATTTAAATTTCAAAACAAAACTGGATTACTGGGACATGCCGAACTTAGGCGCACTTACCCTATACAATGAGTCATTATTACCGATTTCCCACAAATTTCAATCAACACTTGAAAAGGAAACAAGATGAGATTTATATATTTTGGAGCAAAAACCTATATTTGGATCACAAAAATTCTATTACAAACAAGTAAAAAGTGGTCCGGCGAACTTTTAATACCGTCCACCATTAGGAAAGTAACACTTATGCTCATAAGATCTGAGATCATAAGAAAAGAATAAGAAATTTCGAACAATTCCGTTAAAAATTTTGAATATCGGTTATATGAGGGCTATATGAAGTCTTGGGTCTGTATAAAAATTTACTGCCATAGGAGCGGTACCTATTGCGAAGATAGCAAACTTCGCAGGTTATACCAAAACTTTAACTGAATCGCGACATAAACCGCCAACTTTCAGTAAATTCTGTGTAAAATGATGACTAAAAGTCTTAAAACGCCTTAAATCGGTTCGTACCGATATATGGGGCCTCCTTTACGCAGAACGTGGACCTATGTGGCCTCCTTTTAATACCAAAATTCTACGAACCAAAAATATATTTCAGTTTAATTTTGTCCGCCTACTACACACCGTTCGGAAGGTACAGTGGTTTCCACAGATGGACGGACAGGTAGGCGGTCGGACATGGCTAACTCGATATCAATTTATTTTTTCTGATCAAGAATATATGTACTTTATGGGGTCTACGACGAATATTTTCAGGTGTAGCAAACGAAATGACAAAATATAAATATACCCTTCGTCCTATGGTGATGGGAATTATAGACAATAATTTCGGTTTTTGGAATATAACGAAATCCCGAAAACCCAAAGAATCCAGTATTTTAGATCTCCTTAGCGAAGATTTAAAACTATCTAGACTTAGGACTAAGGATACAAACGAATGCATACATACACCAGTAAAGAAAGTCCTAAAGTCAGGCGGGGCCGACTTTATGATACCCTACACCACTTTACTAATTTAGTAGAGCTCCACATAACAATTAAAAGATTTTATGGGAGAATTTAATCATACACGCTATGATTATAATTGTAATTTAAAGTTCAAAGGACTAAATATGCCGAAGCATTTGTCAAATCAGATAAAGATATATATGGGAGCTATATCCAAATCTGAACCGATCTCGATAAAATTTGGCAAAGATATTTCTGAGCTGTATTTGATATATTTCCGCGAAATATCGTTGTTACGGAGTGCATATTACGGCTGTGGGTAACAAATACAACAAATCGGATGAACAATATATATGGGAGCTATAGTTATATCTTAACCGATCTTCACCAAATTTGGCATACTAACTTCTAGACTCAAGTAGGTCGCATGTGCCGAATACCATTCCAAAATATTTGGTGCACAATTAAAGGTAAATCGGTCGAAGTTATATATGGGAGCTATATCCAAATCTGAACCGATCTCGATAAAATTTAGCAAATGTATTCCTGAGCTGCATTTGATATATTTCCCAAAATTTTGTTACAGAGTTCATATTACGGCTGCGGAGGACAAAAATAACAAATCGGATGAACAATATATATGGTAGCTATAGCTACATCTGAACCGATTGTGATCAAATTTGGCATACTTATTTTCAGCCCTAATTTGGTTGGTACTATTCGGGCTGATATTACACGTTTGGTGCACAATAAAAGACAAATCGATGGGAGCTATATCTAAAAAGATGGGAGCTATATCTAAAAAGATGGGAGCTATATCTTAACCGATTATCTCCAATTTCAATAGGGTTCGTCCTTGGGCCAAACAAATGTTGTTTGGAAAATTTCATCTCAATCGGATAATAAATACGACCTGCATTTTGTTCACAAGAATGCCTTGTCAGACGGACGGACAGACGGACTGACATGCATAAATCAACTCAGAAAGTGATTCTATGTTACAAACAAATGCACAAACACATAATACCCTTACGACTATGTGGTGTAGGGTATAATAATACTATGTTCCACATCAGTGTGGTGTAATCAAATACTCCTTTTATCTGTTGCACACAAATACCCACAGTATATTACTCAAAGTCGCCGAGTGTGGGTCAATGGGCACCAAATCATTAATTGGGATACTGATGCATGTTAACCCCACAACTAATTATCATAATAGAATATTTAAATCTCCTCCATAAATAACATTTGAAGGAAATACAAGAGGTCGAACAGGTTTGTGCCTTAAGTCTTTTGTTTTCTTCATACAAATTTATGGTATTTTCTAGCGTCTGAAAGCAAAAGGAAAATCTTTCAAATTTATTAATTTTAATCGAGACTGCATCATCGTCGTCTTAGTCATCGGCATTAGCACCGCCAACATAATCAACGCCCTTCGCTGGCCATCATCCACCCAACATTTAGCTGTAAAACAGAACACTCATAAACGCTAGACAAACGAACCCATTGTATACCTGCCACAGATAGTCTAAAAAGGTGTCAATTGGTGGCGGTGGTTAATGTGGCTTCGTATCATTTCTTACATAAAACCAGATTATAAAATCATTGTGTACCTAACTAACTATGACCTAAAATGTGGGCAGATGAGCGAGAAAAAAGAAAGTGGACATGAAATGGAAGACAACAGAAACAAAATTTCACTGCATCAGCGCCAGCTCCGCAAAGGTCTGGTGAAATTTTTCCAATAAAATTGAAAGCCAATCTTCTGTTGGAAATCAGTATCGAATTGAACACCGCAACATGTGGAATATACGGAAAATTTTGATCGGCTTTGTGGCCATTGGAGTTGTTTGCCAGTTATCATTGGCCAAAGGATTCGAAGATAACGACAACAATAACGACGATGTAAGAAATATTCGTGTACGCAGAAGTACCAAGAATAAAGAAGAAAAGGAGGACAAATATACCAAACCTAAGGATACCGCTTCTAGCCGTTCCCAATTGCTCAACCAAGAGGTTAATAATCCAGAATTGGCCATAGAACAGCCTCAAGGAAATTCAGTTGAATTCAGTGGCAAATATTTAGGATTCCCCAACGATGCTGCAGTATATCCTCCCAGTTATTCATTCTTGAGAGCACCCATGCCTGCATATGCTTCATCGTTTCCCTATCCAGGTTTAGCTGGTCTTCCACCACCACAGCAGATGCGCCAGAATTTCGCCAGACCACCACTGAATACCTTTGGCTACTTCTTTGGAAATCCCTCGTTCCAAGCCAACGCTATTACTCCCTTTATCCAAAATGGCAATAGTTTCGGAAGACCACAACCAGGACCTCAATTACCATCTCCCGTAGGTATTCCACAGTATCCAGTATCAGGAGCACCAATGCCTCAGTTGCCAGTTTCCGCTGGACCTTATGCCAATAACTTTATGTCATATGGCAATCAACAGCAGCTGCAGCAGCAACAACCACAACCACAGATACCATTACAACCACAACAGCTTCAACCCCAGCCAGCGGTCCAACCTTTTGTTGCCCCTCAATATTCCGTACACAATTTACAAACCGGACCGGCTAGTCTCCAACTCCAAGCATTCGCTCAACATCAGCCGGAACAATTCAATCCCATGGCAAGAGCTGATTTTGGCCTGCCACCAGTGTTACTTGCCAACTACCCCAGATATCAACGTTCTCTTAAACAAGCGAAAAAAGATTAAAACGGTACCGAGAGAAAAATAAACTTATTTATTTAACATAATTTTTTACATCGTGTGTTTCATTCAAAAATGTCTCTTAAAACTGGACATTTAATTTTTTTTAAAATGAAGAGGTTTCAAAGAGTAGTGATTATGGATTCGAACTTCCTGACCAAAGACGCAGGTCTACACCAAAATTTAATTTCCAAATATGAAACTAAGAATTCCTTTAAAATTGCGCCATAATATTCGAGATGTAGGCATAGTGTAATTTTTATACCCTACACCTCATAGTGTTAAGGGTATCATGTCTTTGTGCGTATGTTTGTAGCATGGTGAGGGAAGCGAGATAGACCTATAGTTATTTTTGAGGATCTTCATAGAATCACTTTCTGAGTCGATTTATGCATGTCACTCAATCTGTCCGTCCGTCAGTATGTCCATGTATTTTTGTGAACAAAATACAGGTAGCATTTTTTATCCAATTGAGATGAAATTTTCAAAACAACATTTTTTTGGACCAAAGGGCTATCCATGGTACAATGAAGAGAAGGTAGGTCAACTTTGAAAAAATTGCAAGTATAGAGGTCTACCTGTTTGGCTTGTAATGTCAGAAATAGTATCAAAACAATAACAAAATCAAACAACTTGTTGCATTTATTTTGAATAAATAATTGAAAACCGCGAAAACTGAATGAAAGGTCGGCACTTCTTTCCAAAACCAGGTTCTATATATCTCTAAAGGATTATTTCGCTACAAAAACTCTAGATTTTGTCGATGCATACGATGAACATTTTGAAAACATCCGAATTTGAATGTTTTCTAAACAATTTTTTTGTTATTGAAAAGAAAACACAAACATAAACAAATACAGATGACATATTAAGCCAAGAAAATAAAAAAATTGAAATCATATGGTATCATAGCCCTACCTTGATATCATTGTACCATGGGGCTATCCCTATTTAAATTGGTGAGAATCGGTTCAAATTTAGATATTGCTCTCGTATATATCTTCAAGAGATTTCGGGTAAATTGTGCACCAAATTGCTGGTATCAGCCCAAATGGACTGAATTTTAGCAATTCCGACCGATTTCATCCTAGGAACAGGTACTTCAAATTTGGTGAAAATTGTGTAGATATAGCTACAGCTTCATCCGATTTGGGGTTTTGAATCCTCACATGCGTAATATGAACTCCACACGAATGCTATTTGGTGCCACATAACTTATTATAAGATTATATCTGTCATCGTTATCGAGATCAAATTATATTAGGAAATGGCTTAGATTTCTTGTGTTTCAAATGGGTCATATCATGGGACTGAATTGTGGCACTTCCGACCGAATTCAGCCTAGAAGCATGTACCTCAAATTTGGTGAAAATCGGTTCAGATATAGATATAGATCACATGTATACGTTTCATCCGATTTGGTGCTAAAGTCCCTTACATGCGTAATATGCACCTACAACAACGATTTTTGATACCGGATGCAGCTCGAAAATAACTCTGCCAAATTTTATCGAGATCGATTCTGATTTGTAAATAGCTTCTATATATATCTTCATCTGAATAGATTTTTTTCAAACTGAAAAGATTTTTTCATATTCAACCATTTAAAGAAACTCGGTCCGGTGTATCTATTGCTCCAATAAATATTTTTAAGTCGAAGTCAGCAATGTCACTAGAGGTGCTACTAGAGGTGCAAAAGCTTCCGTCAAATTTGTTGAATATCGATTCAGAGTTGGAATAAGGTTCACAGTTCAAATAAGGTTCACAGTTCACTTCACATTAATCCATTACATTACATTTTTTTTGTTACGGAAGCTCTACTAAAAACGCATAGTAGTAGGATATCCGTTAGGACATTAACGGGAGCCGATCTCACTTGAAGAATCTTATTATGGCGAGGTAAGAGAAACGAAAATATTACTGATAACAATGCGATTATTTCGATCGAAACTTTTAAAATCTTAAGCCAGTCGCCAAAGCAGTCTTTTGGACCTTTTTATAATCTACAAAACTATGTGTTGGGGGTATTATAAGTTAGATTGGGCCAAAAATTGTGTAACACTCTCTCGAAGGGAGTATCCGATTTGGTCCAAACTTGATACATCGTAATATTATTATCAAACTTAGATCGTTCGTTCGGAGATGGGCGACATCTATCCACTCCTTCTGGTCAAAGATTTTGTGCAAACATTGTAAATCCCAATATTGTTGTCAGAGCTAAGTCACGTGCGACTCCATCAAGTACCCCCCGCACAAAGGATCAAAATTTTGTATAATTATAGCTCTTATAAAATGTGAAATAAGAGTACGATCGTCGCAAATTTCGCTCATATTAATATTTCTATCGACACAAGATCTGTTGTGAAGAAGGTAGAAATCCGCTCACTTCTTCCGGTATATCCCCCACAAAGAGCTAATCAGGTAGGAACAGGTGCGCCCTGAGACTAAGAGAACTTTGGGACATTATGTGTGGAACACATTGGAGGCGGTCCAGGCCATCGATTTTTTTTTTTTGGCAATGAAGCAGCGGATGAATTGACAATATGTGGATCGGAGTCGATCGATATTGAAGGGTCACGACGAGGAGAAAGCTGAAATGGTCGAATATTTGCTCTATCACTATCCAAATCTCTTCGATGTGGAACATAGGCTTATGGAAGAATAAATTATCAACGATCTGTCTTCATTCTCCGAAACAGAACTATCAGTTATTGTACTGCTAGCCAGAAAATTAAAATGACTAAAAACGCCACAATAATATCTCGTCGGTCATCACAACACTATTTGTCTTTTCCTCCTTTCTTTTCTTTTCTCTTCTATTCAGGATGAACACAATTACAATCTTAGGGCAACTGCGCTTCTTTTAACCTAACCTAAACTTCATCCGATTTGATAATTACAAATACACTGAAAAAGAAAATTTACAACTTTTGAATGAATTTCGAAATATTTAGAATTTTATTGCTGGAAAATTGTTACAACCAAAAGATCAGCCAACATACATCGATTCGAACTATTCCACAATGCACACCATAACTCAGTTTACAGAAATTTGTCTAAAGTTTATAAAAGCTAGCATTTCATCTAAAATGGCTGATATTCGTAACTGGAAGCAGCTGGTCTCTGACGATGATAGACTTGCTGTGGTACTTGCCTACGCTGCTGCGGCTGTTGCTGCTGCAACTGATGCTGGGGTGCTTGATGCGACTGGTATTGTTGTTGCTGTTGCTGCTGCTGTTGGTACAATTGTTTTTGCTGCAATTGATATTGGGCCGCTTGCATGAGAGCATGTTGTAATTGATTTGCCTTACCAATACCCCCAACAACTGTTTGACTGGAGGGTGACTGCGGACGTATGGGTGCACCAACACCCCCCTTGATAACATTACTCGCAACTTTGCCATGTGGAGAATTATTGACGGCAAAAGCGTTTCCATTTGTTGGCCGGCCACTGGCCATGCCACCGAAACTAAATGCACCCACACCCGACGAGGTACGCAGGCCACTGTTTCCCGAGAAGGCATGATTTGCCACTGCCGATGATTGATCGACGTTACGTATTGCATTATAATTGGATGCTTGAGATGATAACGGTCGATAATTGGAGCTGGCACCACCAATGGAACCAGAAATGCCACCACCACCGCCCACTGAGCTGCCGTAACGCGTAGCCTGTCGGGTAATCCTCTGAATTATTTCTGGCGCCTTCTCAATGTGCAGCGCATTGACACGCGTCTGGGCATAGCACACCAACCACACTACGCCCAACCAAATGCAACAAATGTATCTCATAACTTGATTCGACCGACCTTCCACTGGAGCTTTGAGATTCTGTCTTTCCAAATGTTCAAGAGCAACTGCAAATGTCTTCGGCCGAAGATGTTGCATTTATAGAGAATTTTTTGCCAGACGAAATTCTTGTCTGACAAGGCTTCTTGTGCGTAGCTGTCGAACTGGCGGAAGAAATGTGGAATCGTGTCAAGTTTGGCAAAAGTTTGAAAAATGTTGAAAACAGTTACACAATTCGCAAGAAGAGGGCACTTCTGCTTACATAATTTCACGCAGTTGAAGAGGTTTGGTTTTTTTTTTTTTTTTTTTGCTTTGTAACCATCCATAAGTTTGGTGGATCACCCTTCTGGCGGTTTGTTGGGCAGCATAAAAGCTATTGTAAGAAAATTACAATTTATTATTTTTTGAATGTACATAGCGGTTCATCTATAAAAATAAAAAAAACAAATGTCGTTCATTGAATCAGTTGAAAATGGTCGAACCCCCACTTAGGTTTTAATGGAAAAAAATTGACCACACCCACTTTCTTTGGTTTATTTTTTAAAAATCGTTACATTTGCAAAAATAATGAAGATTTCGATTTGAAAATTAGTATATGAGATACTGTTGACTATCTCTCCAAACCTAAGCAATAATTTGGGGCGGAAGAACTAGACACGCTTACTTTTTATAAAAATTTATAAAATTAATGTGATAAATTTATAGTAATTCATCAATTGAGAACGGTTGGCCAATTTGACTCAAATTTGTTGTTCAGTTGTTTGTTATTTCAGTTGGATGGCTCTTATGACATAAAAAATCCGCTAATATTAACTTCCTAAGGTGGAATTTTAAAAACTGCTTAATCGACAAAGAAATTTTCTCTGATCAAGGTACGAATATTTCGGGGGTTTATAAACTGAACTAGCTGAACCCGGTGCGCTTCGCTACCCCTTTTGATTTTATATGCATTCAAAATTTTATTTACGAATATATGTTGGTTAAAAAAAAAAACAAATTTAAAAATTAAAAAAAAAATTATTGCACTACTTTAATGCGTAAATAACCAAAACCATTAGAAAAGCAGTAACATGACATGCATACACGAAGGGTTTGTCCTTTGGATTTATTTATTTCATAGCAAATACCAAGCGTGCAGGAAACTGCAATTTTTTTAAGTAGAGTGGCATTTCTATTGCAATTAGTGAATTCGAGATAGCAACATACTTCGCCGTAAT